ACATGATCAACTCTAGATAATTGAGGAAACATCCTCAAGCACAGATGCTTGGCAAAACCATTAGCTATCACTGGAAATTTCACGAAAGAGCAAACGAAAAATCAATACCTACTATTTTGCTATAAACTGTTACCTTCTTTGATCAGAGAAAATAGCACAACTAAGTACAAACTACAATGGTACCCCAGCGGCCAACCACAATGCTCAGAATTTTATAGACTCATCAATCATACTTCTAGACAACCTATCCCAAAGTAAACCTTTTCACAATATTTTGAATAGGCTACAATTCAGTCCCTTTATCATGTGTACATATGCAGTTGTTAAAAACTCACCAAAATTTCGCCAAGAGTGAGAAACACAGCTCACACGCGCAATATCAGACGGATCATCCAAACATGTGAAAATCTTCTCTGACATGTCATAACAGAGGTAACTGAGAAAATCCAGTTGAGTTCCCATTTAACCAAACTGCTGATCAACTCAGCAGTTCTTCTCAACTTCAATTCCTGATTTAACACTGCAAAACACTGTATCAAAAAAAGAAAAAAAATGAACAACTAATAAAATTATTTTAATCTTTTTCCTGAACTATAATCACAAGAAGCAATTCAGATGAAATGATGATACATGCAAAAAATACAAAAGAATTTAATTTTTCATTGATTTCCACCAACAATTAAATGAGGGGAAAAAAAAGAGTGGCTTAAAAGAAGACAGTATCAAACAGAGCGCAAGCACGAATCTTTCTACCGAAAAATGAAAGCTGAGAGCTTTATATTGCAAAATTCAAACATAAATGCAGCAATCAAATTCAATCAATTTTGCAGAGATGAACGCAACCGATTGTGTAATGGGGATGGAAAAAAAAAGGGGGAAATTGGAAAAGCAAAGACGAAGAGAATAGAGAATTCTAGAGAAATGAAATAGGGAGGATGATGAGAATGGAAGTTAGGAAAACTTCACCTTCGCTGAAGAAGAAAGGGGAATCGAGAAGCCAAACCGTAGAGGGAGAAGTTGAAAGAATCGGCGAGTAAAGTCAATGGAGATGGGAGGTAGATAGTGCTAGTAAGTACCTCAAGGTCGTGTTATTTTGCAATTTACCTAATGGGGTGTTTGTTTGGTTCAGAGAGGTTGTCTCATATAATCATATTCAATCATTTTTATTTTACAATTAAGTTATATAATTTGGACAATAAAATAAAAAATTCTAATTTAAAATTACTAGAAAATATATTCAAAAGTGCTTTATTTGATGAAGTTATTAATTTTCTTTATATATTTAAATTGTATTTGAGATTCATGTATTTTAATTTAATTTACATATTAAAACTGTAATTTTCACTCTAAAATTATTAAATTACTTTTAATAAATGAACATAAAAAATTTTATTAAAATATTATAATATTTTCAGTAATAAAATTATATTTTAAAAATACAATCTGACTTAAAAACAATTTTTTTATTGTATTTTGTCTAAGTAACCTGAACCGAACTGAACCAAACCAAACGCCACTCCCCACTTAAAGGCAAAATACCCAAATTTATCCCTAAAATATAGTAATAAGGACATATTCATCCTCACACAAAAAGGGAGACAAATTGACTTATAAAATTTTTGACTTAAATAAATTACTTTAAATTTAACATATGACATCATTTAATATTAACAATTCATTAATCTGTTACCAAATTATTGATATAAAATGATATCAAATTAATAAATTATTAATATTAAATAATATCACATATTAAATTTGAAGTGAATTATCCAAATAAAAAATTTTATAAAAAAATTTATCTTCATATTTTATTTAAGAATGGATCCACCGATGATAGATTTGAATATTCGGCCTACAATAAATTAACAGTCGCAATGATACCAACGTTTTGATAGTTCCCCATTTTTTTTTTTTTTTTTTTTTTTTAACTCAAAATCTATTGGAGCCGCATCTTTTCCAATTTTTAATTGGTAGAAATTCATGAGGAAGACAGTTTTGCTTTTTATTACTTCTCTTGAAAGGAATTTGGGACTGAGAATCAAAAGCTTAAGTGATGCAGTTACACCCCATTGTCCACACCAAAAATCCCATAAACTAAAATGAGAACAAAAGTTCATCTTTTTTAAAATATTTTGGAGATTTCCTATAGCAAACGCATAAAGGGGCGGAGGAGCCCCAAGGAAACATACACTACTGGAACTCTGTTAACCGTTGTTCCCAAAGCTTGTTCTAAAATCTTCTCCAGAGTATTATCTATGCTTTCCCATGGATGGTCAGTGCTGGAAGCAATGATGGCTTCTGAGATGCACTTCTCTTCTTCAGGAAATCACATAAAACCTCGACCCAAAAGGCATAAGCCCTGTGCTCTTTCTTCAAAGGTTCCCATTCCATGTTACTAGATCCAAGATCCAACTGCCACAAGACTTTCTGCCATGGAGGCTGGCTCAACCACACGATCAACTCTAGATAATTGAGGAAACATCCTCAAGCACAGATGCTTGGCAAGACCATTAGCTATCACTGGGAATTTCATGAAAGAGCAAAAATCAATACCTACTATTTTGGTTATGAACTGTTACCTTCTTTGGTCAGTGAAAATAGCACAACTAAGTACAAACTACAGTGGTACCCCAGTGGCCAACCATAACGCTCAGGATTTTATAGACTCATCAATCATACTTCTAAACAACCTATCCCCAAGTAAAACTTTTCACAATATTTTGAACAGGCTACAATTCAGTCCCTTTATCATGTGTACATTTGCAGTTATTAATAACTCACCAAAATCTCGCCAAGAGTGAGAAACACAGCTAACACGTACAATATCAGACGGATCATCCAAACATGTGAAAATCTTCACTGACATTTCATCAGGTAACTGAGAAAATCCAGTTGAGTTCCCATTTAACCAAACTGCCGATCAACTCAGCAGTTCTTCTCAACTTCTTTTCCTGATTTAGAACTGCCAAACACACTGGATTAAAAAAAGAAAAAAAAATGAACTAATAAAACTATTTTAATCTTTTTCCTGAACTATAATCACAAGAAGCAATTCAGATGAATGATGATACATGCAAAACAACCAAAGAATTTAATTTTTCAGTGATTTTCACTAACAATTAAATAGGGAAAAAAAATGAGTGGCTTAAAAAGAAGACAATATCAAACAGAGCACAAGCACGAATCTTTCAACCAACAAATGAAAGCTGAGAGCTTTAGATTGCAAAATTCAAACATAAATGCAGCAATCAAATTTAATCAATTGTGCAGAGATGAACGCAACC